CCAAAATTTTGGCACAAACGCACAAACACATACGGGACATGAGCTGTTTAAATCAGCAGAAGTCTTTCCATCATTTTTTGTAGGTTTTAGATAAAACTGGACTAAGCAAGAAGATAAATGGGATGCAGATTTGAGGAGGAGGAGGGGTTTGGGAAGTGTTGAAGAGGCAGCTGTAGTGGTGGAAACCTGCAAATGACTATGGCTACAAGGGAATGAGTTTTGCTTCTGCAGATGTGGAGCTTGGCATGGAGAGATGGAGATGAACGGCACAAACTGGAGGGTGAGGAGGGGAAACCGAGTGAACACACGCTCAGATTAGCAAAGCAAAGAGGACAAACAAGCTAAATGATCTCTGCTGAGTCTGGGGATTAGTGACCTTCTGCTTAAGACTTTGGCTCTTAAGAGAGGATTTGGAATAAAGCTCATTTCTTCAGAGCAATTTATTTCTCAACACGTGTGGCTAAGTCTGCTCATACCTTTCTGGGAGACATAAAAAAAGGGAAGAAAAACAACTTCTTAGTTTCTTAGTCCTGCAATACTTTAAGGGGGAGAGAGGGGGAAAGGCAGAGGAATTTATATCCAAAATAAAGGAGGGGGATTTATATCAATTATCAGTGTAAAATACAGCAGCCAGACTTCAGGAGCACAGCAAGACTTAGGCTGTGCCGGTGAAATGTTAGACATCCACAGGCTTTCTCTCATTTTGCACAGGTTGAGCACACATTCGCTGTATCCCAGCTCACAGCAGATCAACTGGAGGAGAAAACCCTCTACCAAAATCCCTGCGTGCTGCTTGTTTTCTATCCTCAGGACTTACACACCAGGCAGCTTGGAGGGCATGTCAGCATAGGCTTCTCATCCTTGCCTGTGATAACAAGCCCCAGGTCTCAGCCTGTGTGCCCTGATCCATCACTTAGCAGCATGAAGATGGTAATATGATATAAAAAAAGAAATTAATTCAATACCACAACAGGTTGGGGATATTTTTTAGGTCAGTTATGAGAAATCTATTCCCTGAGCTTGTATTTGGAGGCTACAGTCTCCAGGACCACTGTATTTGTTTTTCTCTATGTAGTCAATATTTTAACAAGGAGCTCCCACAGAAATGTTTGCCCCTTGGCCAAGGGCAAAGGGACAAGATAAATTTCCATTTGTTTTCCTAATAAAACAAAAATATTTTCTTATGAACATAACCAAGGCCCTACTAGCACCAGGCGAGGCAGCTGCTTATATTGAGCAGGACTTTGTGTTGGTAGCACATTTGCTAAATTTAGGGAGAAGGTAAGGTAACAGTAAAACAGAGCAATCAAACCATGCAACCTGACATGCCTGGGAGGTGAGGTGCAGTGAGACAAAGCTTTCTGCGATGACCACAGATAGTTTTCTCGGGGTGATTTTTCCATAATAAAAATTACGTATAAAGGAGATTGCACTGCCAAGCAGGAAAAAAAAAAAAAACTTCAAGAGAAAAACAATGCCATCAGAGGCACAGAAACCTGAAATCCTCCCCTTCCACCATAACACACCTTAAGAACTGACCCTACTAAAAAAATGGATTTGTTACCCAAAACTTGACCTGAGGGCCCCAGCTGATGCGCTTATCCTTGTTCCCATATATGTTATCCCCATTCAGGGCACATGGAAGCATTTTGAACACACTGCTGAACAACAGGGTGCAACAAAATCTTGCAGATGCTCCAGAGACAAGCACGGCTGCCAGCGCAGGAGCAAAGTAACCATGGCGAGGACATCCAGCCTCCTGAGGCAGCGACAGTGTTTCACCACAGCATGGCAGGAAGCAGCGCCCCACGGAAAGCGCAAAACTGTGGCACTGCACTTGAACATCAAATTGTGACAACATCTGGAGGGGAAGAATGTTCTCCCCAGCAAGAAAATACTTCTATTGCTGGAGCAAAGCGGTCTATTTTAAAAAATCCTTCCATTCAAACTTCTGAGGAAGGGAGATCTCATTAAAAAAGTGCCTTGAAAGGAGTGCTTTTGTGAAACAAGTTTTCCAACCGCACTGTCAGATTTTTGAGCAGCTCTTCTCAGACAGAGCAAAGATCCCTGTACTCTGCTCCCATTGTCACAGCAGCTGTACTCCTCTGCAGGCACAGATCTGCTCCTTGTGTGCAGGGCTTCCAAGGGGACAAAGAAGAAGATAACCCTCCTGAAGACAGCTGTTCAGAGCAGAATTTGTCTCCAGTTACAGCCAGGGACAGCATGTTGTGTTTCCAGCACCAGCAAGAACTCTTCTGATAAAGAACCTCAAGATTTCATCCAGCAGAACCAGGACTGTTACTGACTGCCAAAGCAAGCAGTCACAAAGTGACACAAAGTGCTATGTACATTTTGACACCTGTGATTTTGTTAGACATTCTGAAATATGTTCTGTAATCAGCTGTGAGCACATACAGAGAGGCAGTATCTGTGTTTAGAATGTCCACATACCACACAACTACTAATACCACTGAGCTGTTAGGAGGAACAGAACATCACCTTCATAGTTTCAGCTATCCTGGAGCATGTACATGTGATGTGCAGTAGCAGCAAGCATTCAGAAAAGACCTTGGCTCTGCTGAAAAACATCAACTTCAGGTAAAGTAAAAGCTTCACCTTCATCAGTGGCACTTCAAACTACCTCTCCGTTGCAGACCTGATTCCTGAAGGACTTTCTCAGCATCTTTGAAAATAAACTGGTTTCCCTGACATTTGGCATGCCATATCTTGTGCTGAGGAGGAGTCCTAGCAACTCCCCCAGGACACTGGCTGAAGAGGAGCGACTAAGAAACCCTATGCAAAGGTACGGCTGTCAAAACATTTCTCAGTTCACTTTTTGGAAGTGACTCCAGTTTGTGGGTTAAAAAGAAGTCCTCCTGTTCTCTGACTGTATTCCTACACATGGCAGTGTTTGGTCATTTTTGGCAATGAGAAACATGCTATTTTGAAGCAGTGGTTGGGTTTTCTCAGTGACAAAACTATAATAGTATCTCATGTTTCTACCACACTGTCAACTCTGGTAATGTATCTTACTCTGCTTTCTTCGAAAATAGTTTGAATTTGGAAATGTATTTAGCACTGACTTTTAAGATTAGATGTATATGGTAGCTGTGTCCAAGCACTGCAGCTATGCTTGATGACATTCATAATCAAATATTTCAAGCTGAATGATATTCATGACAAAATAATTCTTTTGCAATTCTCCCAGGACTTGCTCAATGAAGCCCCATTCAGTTACGCTCAAGAAATGAAGGATTCATCTGTCATCTGCAGAAATACTAAGGGCCTCCCTCCAGTAAATGAGTAAGAGCCAAAAAGAGGAGAGTAATTCCAAAATAATACATAGGAAGTTGTTGTCTGGGGGAACATAACCCATGTGTTTCAGAGATACAGTTGTATAGACAGAAGATAAATAAATAGGCAGAGTTTTGACTAACCTTTATTCCATACTCCAATACAGCTCATTTCCCTGCAATTGTGTTTGATAGACACATACAATTTTCTAACTCTGAAGAGAGCAATAATTTTCCCTAAATCACTAACATCACCAAAAATGACACCACCTACATTATTCCTCTCTAATGTAATAATACCCTGTTAAGCAAAGAGCTTTGATGATTTTATTACCACATAATGTTTCTCTAAATCAAAAGAAAGGAAAAAAAATAAATAAGTTGAGCAATAATCAACCTGTTACTGCTGTTTACATGGAAATCAGGTGGAATTTAAATAACTTGTCTTTAAAGAAGTCAGATTCAGCCTTCCTAGCAAGGAGAGACAGATGAATGATACCCACAGCCAGCTTCTCCATGTACTGTGCTTTTCTTATGTGCTGTATTGGATTCCTTGGATTTAGGAACAGTGACATTTGGCAAAGAGGAAACAGCAAAGTGACTGCTTTCAACCACAAACCCTCTAGAATTTGGGGGTGCCCAATGACTGATACTGCCACCGTACCAATATTTATACATTCATTGAATGACAGGTTAGGAATTACAGAGGGTAGTTTTCACACCTATAAAACCTCAGATGGGTTGAGCTGCCCAGTGCCCACAGATTGAGGACTCACCATTTTTATTCAGCCACATGGCAGAACTGGGAGTGATGGTTACCCCAAACTCCTGCCACATTCACTGCCTGTTGGGAGCACTTCACTAGCACTGGGTTTCCAAAACTGTCCACCCCCAAGATAAACCTGCTTTGGCAAGAGAGGGAGGATTTCATGCCCTCAGGTACATTGCAGCCTCAGGTGTGAATGACCATTTGCATCCTCATCTTTAGCAGAGAAAGGTTTTTGCCTTTGCAAAGGGAAATGTGAGAAAGTCTGCCAGCCCACAAAGAGCAAGACGGGGACAATAACAAATTTACAGCATAGAGTAGCTGAATTAAAAAAACACCACAAGAATAATCTATATCATTGCAAAAACCTTCACGTCTGATTTGAAGTCTTAAAGGTTTCAAGTTTTCTAGGACAGGAAACAGCAGAAGAGAGCAAATGCATTAAAATCAAAGGGAATTTATTAAGTTGTTCCAATGTGGAAAACACAAAAATGTCTTGCTTTGAAAAAGTCTCAGGCAACATTTAGCTGTCAAAAAAGCTTCCTTCAACTCAAATGTTTCAACAAAAATAAAAAGCACCTGTAAAAATATCTTCCAGTGCTGCTGCATCTGTGTTCATTTTTACTTAAGGAAACAGTTTTACATGAACCCAGGAAGATTCCTGTTTTAGTGGAGCCCCTCTGATCCTTATGACATACTATTTTTTGACACCATGACCTCTGAAAACTTTGCAGTGGAAGTGTGAGTAGCACATGTGGGCTAATTATCAATTTGCTCTCGTTACTTATTTTCTGCAGACCTGAAGAATGAACCCAGAGCTCTCTTGGGGGCTGGAAAAGCAGAGGCCAAAACATCTGCTCCTGGACTTTCATCAGTACCAGCTGTGACTTGCAGCATGTGCCACAGGAGACAGCTGCTGGTGGCTGCTTTTCCCCCCTTACCTTGCTCCGGTGACATCCACGCCGACCATCAGCTGGCCGTTCAGAGAGAGGATCTCATCTTTCAGGCGCACTCTGCCGCACTTCCCAGCCGGGCTGTTTTTCTTCAAGTCCGTCACCCAGATGCACCCAACGTCAAGCACAGGCCCCTTATGCCCCTTCCTCTTCTTTCCTACCCGGCGCTTCTCCCCGTAGTCCCCCAGAGCAGGGATGTTGCCAAAGCTCAAACCTAGAACCTCGTTTTTTCGCATCTCCTGGGCCAGATACATGGTGCAGATCTCTGTATCCGGAGTCCCACAGCTCCCTGGCTGCAGTGTGCTCTCATCCACAGAGAAGTTGAGCTGGATATACTCACTCAGCTTCTGGACGGCCGAGCGGCAGAGCTGCTGCTCGGCTCCCTCGGCCCCCTCCCGATGGCTGTTCTGCAGCCACTGGCACAGGAGGGGGAGGAAGACCCCGGCGTTGTCCTGTGTGATAGGCATCGCTGTCCCTGTGCATCCCCCTCACGGCATCAGCCCCGGCCCCAGTCGGCTCCCTGGTCGTCTGCCGTGGCCCCCCGCAGCCCCTGGGGACATGCTGGAGTGGGGCTGAAGATCCAGAGCAAACTCCATCTAATCTCAGGGAGATTTTTCTTCTTTTTTGGTTCTGACTGACCAAAAGCACAGTCAAGGCAGGATGTTTGGTGGACACAGCACAGCCAGCCCTACAGACTGGCTGTTAGTGGATGAAGTAATGGGGAGCGTCTCTGGCTGTCCAGGTATGCCTGCTATCGGGGTCACCACTCCGCTGTGAACAAAGTGTCCTTCCTGCCACGATCACCACACCGTCTTGTCCTGCAAGGGGAAAACAGCACAGTTAGAGCTGCCAAAACCACTGCAGGCGTTCAACAGCCCCCGCCCAGCACCCCAACGCCGGTTCGCAGGGCCGGACCGCTCTCCTTCTGCGATTTGCCACTTGAGGGCACCAGCTGCTCTCCTCAGCAAGGGAATAAAAGGTCACCATTAGCTCCTGACCTTCCCGGTAAAACGGGAATTGGAGTGCCGAGCGGATGCTCCTGCCGCAACTCCAGAGCTCTTAGTGAAGCAGAGGAGACACTCCAGCCAAACCCATTCCAAGGTCCGCTGAAAGGGCAAAGCGTGACACTACAGTCTCACCAGTGACTGAACCTGGCTTATGCCACTGCTTGGAGGCAGCTCTGCCTCCTCCGTGCCAGTGGTTTTGGTCTGGGATAGTCTTAAACTGGTCATTTCTCTGACTTAGCTACCCACCAAGCCACACGAGGGATGGGCAGCAGCACATATGAAGGGTTAGGACACCAGTGGGCTCCCTCCTCTTACTGGCACCAGTGGCTTACAGCAGACTGAATCTACCTACCTAAGGGAGGTGACTACCCAGTCTCCTGGGACAAGAGTTGGGCAGGTGAATTCCCCAATTTCCTGCAGCTTGGAGAGCGAGGCACACAATCAGCTGGGAAGCAGCAAGAGCTGGGGGTTAGCAAGCAAGAAGGTGAGAAAGAGGTTTTTTTCCAGGATCATTAGGATCTATGAAACAAGAAAAAACCCTGATGCGAGTCAGGGTTGACTGGATTCTTTCAGGGATTTATTTTCTAGCAGTGGATGCTGCTCAGTGAGCTGTGCACCAGGAAGGCAGGAGAAAGCAACAGCTTTGAGCTTGAAGCCTGCAGGCCTGCTCTTGCAGATGTGTATGCAAGGCTCACTTTGGCAGAAAAGCTGTAGAAGGAGCTTGTAACCCCAAGAGCATAGTATAAAGGGAGACTTTTGCAAAATGCCGCTGCCCAGAAAGTGTATCTAAATTTCTGCCATGTCGCTGGCTGCATAGCACTACTTAGACGGACAGGAGTGCCCCCAGTCAAGCTCAGGGAGGGACAACAGATCAGGGCCACCATGTGCTGCTCCTAGGAGGACACCAGCATCTTCACCAGAAGGGTGATGCTACACCAACAGCTCTAAAGGGATGGGCATCACCTTGGGAATGGAGGAAATGGCCCACTGCCTAGTGAGAGGGACTTCTGAGTTAGCACACATCTAAAAAGAGGAGGTGATAATAAAGACACAGATTGACCATGAAATAGGCTTAAATCCTCTGAGCATCTTAGATATTTAATGCAACACTGGTGAATATATTTTTTAACACAGAACTTAGGTCCTATTTAAGATCTCAGATTTAATTTAAGACAAAAGTGATGATTTAACTGACATAACTGGAACTTGCTGTAGTAAGACCTCGATTTGGAATACTGATCTAAAGATGCATGGGTTGTATATGGACCAAAAAAGAAAATGTAGAGGCACTCTTGACAGACCGAGGATGATCTATATACTTGCTTCGAGGTCCAGAACACAGAGGGAGGAAGAACTGCTAAATTATCTGGTTAATAATAAAAACGAAAAAAAAAAAAAAAAACACAAAACAAAACAAACACAGGGGAGGGCACAACAAACCCTAAATGAAGAACCTGATACAACTGACTCAATGGCAGTGGGAGAGTACAAGCATGAGATACACTCTAGGAAAGGAGAGCAGTATGAGACAGAGAGTCCTGGTGCCTTCAGAACAACATTCTCACATAACAGATAGATCGAGTTATCAGGAGGGAAGAGCCTCCAGAAAGGAATCTGTTGGGGGCAAGAAGGTGGAAAGAAACTCATGTAAGAATGTCTGTAAAATCAAGAGACTGGGGACAGCAAAACAGAAATTACTGGCTTCAGTACATTAAAAAACCCTGCTAGGTAAGAATTCATGCAGAAGAGTTTAAAGGAAAAAGAAATCAAGGTGAGCTGTAGTTTCTCAAAGAAACAATATTTTGTGCTTAAAAGGCACAGGCACAATAGCATCTCAATGCAGAAGGATCAGAAGACTTGGCAGCATCACAAGCTTTTCATTTTCCTCAAAGACAAGAAGAAAGAACTCTAAAAGGTTACTGAGCAGGAGTTTAAAAAAATAGTGCAAACACATAGGCAAAAATAATAGAAACATCAGGGCATAAAAATGAAATGAAACTTGCAGAAGGTGAAAATAGAAAAAATGTTACCCTTTATATGCATATTAATACCACGAAGACAGTCTGGAAAAGTGTTGTCAGAGAGAAAGTTATTGAGAAATGACACTGAAAAAGGCAACACTGGTTTGCTTTAGTCCTTGTTAAAACTGACAACTATGCACAGGGGATTAGTACACAATGCTACACAATATCAGTACAGAGGTATACTATCCTCTTCTCTGCCTGTTCAGGGTGAGATCAGTCCTCTGTCCAAGTCAAGTATTTTCTGTCCAGCAGAGTGGGACAAACCACCTCTTAAATTCCCTGCAAAATCAGTTGAAACCACCTCAGATACCTCCCTGCTGGTCACCTGTGAGAACTCAGGCAGGTGAGGTGCCAGAAGGAAGGACAATGCAAGTGCAATGTCTGTCTTTAAGGGTGGAAAGAGAAGCAGCAGAAGAATGCTACATCACTCAGTCTAGCTTCAATCATCTTAAAAACTCTAAGTCAAACAAAGAAACAGTCTGCATGTATGTGGAAGAGAATAAAAATATAAGAAGTGGCAGATACAGGAGAGACAAGAAAAAAGTAATATAAAATCAAATTAATTTCACAATGGAGAAGTTGTTGGATGTCATTTATCTGGGCTTTATTATAGCTTTTGTCACTGTCTCAAACAACTTTCTCATAAATAAACTAAGGAAACATGATTAAATGAGACTACCATAAATCCATACCCAGGGAGTAGTTATTAATGACATTCTGTGAAAACAGAAGGACACTGTGAGTGAAGCTCTGCTGGATCTAGTTCTGCTCAGCACATTCATTAGTGACCTGGACAAGGAAAGAGAGTACACGTATTAAATCTGCAGATTACACGAAGCTGGGAGTGTCTGCAGACACACCAGAGAACAGAATTAGCATCTAAAATATCTTGGGAAAAATCAGAAAAACATTCTCTAAAAATTAGGATAAAGTTCAGCAAGGACAAAAGCAGAGTACTACAAAAGGAAAACCATACTTAGATAGGTTGTCTTAGGTGGCAAATCTCTGGGAAAAGATGTTGAGTTTCACAGAACTACAGAATCACAGAATGGCTTGGGTTGAAGGGAATGCGGTTCCAACCGCATTGCCATGGGCAGGGAAACCTTTCACTAGACCAGGTTGCTCAGAGTCACATCCACCCTGGCCTTGAACACTTCCAGAGTTTCTAGGGAATCATTCCCATCAATAAAGTCTTGCTGATGGGGAAATAAAAGGGTCATTGTCCAAGGATGTGTCAACAGGGACAAAGCCTGTGAGGCATGTGAACTGTCTCTACAGCTTAACGCAGGGCTAGGAAGTTCTCAGCAGCAAAACTGTCCAGTTGGAGAAGAGCTCTGACATGACTGCCAGTCTTGAAAGTGTGACCTATTAGGAAATATTTAAGAAATTAGGGCCTGCTAGTCCAAAACAGAGAAGGTACTGCAGGTGGGGGATGAAAGCACAGGTTAAGGGTACTTTAATGTACTTTAAAATGCCCTACAGTGACCAGGAGAAGAAATACAATCTGTTCCCCTTGCCCATGGTCAAGTAATGGGTGCAAACCATATCAGGGTAGGTTTAGGTTAGTGGTTAGGTAACATAAGGATAAAGAATATCAAAGCACTGCAGAACACTGTCTAGAGTGGCTGGAGTCTCCATTGCTCATGGTAGCTGCAGGGGGTTGGACAAATATCTGCTATGAGCAATGACTAGAGCCAATCTCTCTTGGCTGTGGGAGAGAGTAGATCTCTCCATTTCAATCCCTCTTACTTTTTTCCTTCAACGTCATCTTAGCAGGAGCACAATGGTTATTTAATGGGTAACATCCAGTAAGTTATGACAATGACACCCTTATCATTGCTTCAACAGCAAACACCAGTATAGTCCTCAGTAACCACACAGGGTTCAAAACGATTTCAGCACCAGAGAAGATCAGACCAGATCATCCTTTGAGGTCCTTTTTGACCTAATAATTTAAGGAGTTTTTGCCCTCAGTTGGTTACCAATTTTGGCATTGGGTGGACATGTTACAGGCTGTCCTTTTCAAACTATCCCCAGACCAAAAGCACTGCCCCAGCCTCCAGCCTGGAGAACTTGGGGCTCCTTGAAAGCAGCGGAAAGCTTTAACTCCAGAGTTTCCAAATCTCCTCCGCATTGGCCAAGGGCACAATCTGATGTTGACTTCAGCTTCAATCCTGCAGTTGGCTGTTTGGAGCGTTCAAAGGCATCTGCATTCCATGCAAAACTCATCCATCATTCATTTAGCAACATTGCTACAGGGCTCTTCCGCTCCATGCACACACATCCCTCTGGAGATAGCGGATGACGGCCCCCTCCACACTGCCAGGGGCGGGCAGCCTTCAAAACCCCATTCCTGCTCCCCACAGGAAAAACTGCAGGCGTTGATACGCCGCGGGTTGCCTGTCTACGCCCCCGAGCTCACTGCAGAGCCATGGCAGACACTTAAATTAATCATGTAGATAATTATACAGTACTTTCAAGGGATTTGATTTTCTCAAACAAAACCTTCTGGCTTTGGAAAAATGACTCCAGACAAGCATAAATAGGAAATACTCCTCCCAGATGAAACAGACAGTGCAGTGCTGAGCTGAACACCTCTGCACTGCTGAGAAGAGCAGCTCAGGTGTCCAGTGGCAACAGAAGCAGAAAATAGAAAGGTGGCAAACTGTTCGTCAAGGGAAAAAATAGATCTGCCTGATAAAAATGGAAAACTCTTAAGAACAAATTTATTTTTACTCTTGATTTCCACCAAAATAGACTCAAGACACATGTGGGAAAATTTTAACG